GTAATATATAAAATTAAAATTATAAAATAATAAAGTAACATAAAAATAATAAAATAATATATATATTTTTAATGTAAATATATAAAATAAAACAAAATTAATAAAATATAAATATATAATTAATTGATTTGATATTTATGACAAAAAATAATTGACACAAATTCCAAGCAATCAACACCCCCTACTAAAGGGGTGTCATTAGCACTCCCCTTAAAAAAAACAATCCATTAAGTTGGTTGAACAATAATGCAAGGAATCAGCCCTAGTCTAAAGTAAAAAAGAAGGGAGATGGATGGATAGATAGGTCATAGGTGGGTAGGAAAGTGTTTGGTCTTCACCTCTCTCTTCCCTTTCTCTATCACTGATTTATGGGTGAAATGTTGATACCCTGAATTATTTCTATTCACACACCCTTCTTCAACCCCTTCCAAACCCTTTTACTTACCATAAATCACCACTCACACCTTCCAAGAATCCTGGGATCATCATCCATTTCCTCTCTTTTTGCTAAAAATTCCCATCAGATTTTTCTTTTTCTTGCAAAAACCCAGATTAGGTTTCTAAAATCAAGTTGCAGAATCTCAAGATCTGATCGATTTTAAGGTAGGTCCTTTTGGGATCTATAACTTCGATTGTTTTTGGTTCAAGTTTTTGGTCTGTATTTGACCCCTCCAGCTTTCTGATATCCATTTGGATTGAAGATCGAAAAAAGCTTGAAGGGTCAAGTTTTTTTCGACAAATCAGAAATCGGAAAAAAAAGGGGTTTGATTTTGAATCTGTGATTATATGGGTAACTGTTGTGCTGCACCCTCTACTACTGATTCTGAGAAGAAAAAGGGGAAAAATAAGCCAAACCCATTTTCATTAGACTATGGTGGGTCTACTCCATCTGGAAATGGTGGATATAAGACCACTGTTTTAGAAAACCCAACAGGCCATGAAATTGAGAAGACATATGTTCTTGGGAAGGAGATGGGTAGAGGAGAATTTGGGATTACTTATATGTGTACTGATAAATCTACGGGTGAAGTTTTTGCTTGTAAATCGATATCGAAAAAGAAGCTGAGAACTAGAGTGGATATTGAGGATGTGAAAAGGGAAGTTGAGATTATGAAACATATGCCACCACATCCTAATATTGTGAGCTTGAAGGATACTTATGAAGATGATAATGCTGTTCATTTGGTTATGGAATTGTGCGAGGGTGGGGAGTTGTTCGATCGAATTGTTGCTAGAGGACATTACACTGAGAGGGCAGCTGCTGGTGTCACTCGTACCATCGTTGAGGTTATTCAGGTGAAGATTATGTCCCTAAGTTTATTGCCTTTTTGTAGATTATGGTGTTTTTATCATATGTTAAGTGTCATAATTCCTAAAAGTAGATGCATTTTACTTTTTAATCTGAGGGAAAATTGCATGAAAATGTACCAAATTTTGGTTGTGATTCTAATTTTTGTGTAAAGTACTTTTAAAACCTTGATTTTGGTATATGAGTCTTGGTATCATGAAACATTTAGATCAAAGTACGTTATACGTGATAGGATTAAGACCATGTACGTCGCGTTTTCATGCCTTCTGAGATGTAAACTAGGTACCTAAAAGTTTGAGATGTCACATCTTATCATTCTTATGTACCAAATTGAGGGTTTTGAAAGTACATTACACAAGATAGGTTGATTGATCAAAGGGCGTTGCATTTTCATGCAATTTTCCCTTTTAATTAATGGTCAAATGATTAAATGCATTTCTGGCTTGGAATATGGGAGAATCTGATTCTTGATGACTTTAGAAGCTTAACTGTGTACTTCAGCTTGCGTAAATTTTCAGAATTTTGCGTAACATACAAGTCAGTTTTTTGTCCAAAACATACAAGAAATCTACTTGAAATGAGAGTGACCAATCTTTGAACCATCATAATTGGTTTTATGTTGCAAACAAACCATCATTCTAATGAAAAGGCAAAAAAGAAAACACACACTATGTTTCACAAGAATGAGGGGTTTTGGACCAGATGTGTCAAATATGGTGGTTCTTTTTGCATTTAACCTCTTTGCAATATACCCAAAATCAATCGTATCTAGAAAATGTAGTGCTTTTCACAAGAATGATTGTTGGTTTGGAATAATAACTGAAGTATGATGTTAATCACTACATAATTTGATGAGATGGATGGCTTTAGTAGATAGTTTCTCAATTGGTCTATTTTATTGCAGATGTGCCACAAGCATGGTGTTATGCATCGTGATCTTAAACCCGAGAACTTCTTGTATGCAAACAAGAAAGAAACTGCAGCCTTGAAAGCTATTGACTTTGGGTTATCGGTTTTTTTCAAACCAGGTAAGAACTTTCTATAGTAATCACGTATTCATATATGAATATATAGGGCATTTTGGGTTTCCGTCTCTTGTTCTTTGCATTAAATGAACGTCTTTTAATCTTATATAGGGGAAAGATTCAACGAAATTGTAGGTAGCCCATACTACATGGCTCCTGAAGTCCTGAAACGAAACTATGGTCCTGAGGTGGATGTGTGGAGTGCTGGAGTAATTTTATACATATTGCTTTGTGGTGTTCCCCCTTTCTGGGCAGGTATAAAATCTTGATTTCTTCTTAAAATAAAACAGGTGATAAGTTATATATATATATGTATGTATGATATATGGGAAGGGTTCAACACCTTCCTTCTACGAAAACGAGAGGACACGCTTTTACTATAGTCAATCACATGTGATACTATAATCCGTTACATGTGATACTAAATTGGGGACCCAGGTGACCTTTGGCGTCCCAAGTCGCACACCACCAGGTCGTCTCATGTGGGTGTTCTCGCGTTTTCATAAAATGAAGGTGTTCTCATTTGAACCTCCACCTTATATATATGCATGAGTGGTTAACATACATCCGGAACACGTGTAGAATAACATATATAGGTGTAGTTGGATAAAACTGAATTAAAAAGTGTGTTTTGTCTAAAAAAATACAATAAAATTAGGGATTCATTGGGATTCTCAAATTTGGGAAATACTTATTTCGGATGAGCCAAGTCGATAGGAGGAACCAAATGAGTTCTGCAGCATCAACTTTGGACTGCACACATCACTTAGGGGGAATCTAGAAATGATGCTGAATGAAAAAGGTGTAGTTACCTTGATAATATAGTTTACCATGCAAACAAGGTGTTAAACCAAACTAAACTAGCCCACTATATCCCACTCGGAGGTGGGATGTACACCTGGTCGCTACTCCAAAGAGTAGAGTGGCTGTTTTTGTGAAGACCCCCGACTTTTGAAAAAGTGTGTGTGCAAAAGTTTTTGATATCATGCAGACCTTGCCTTTACCCCTAAAGACTCTTGACTTGGAATTCTTTGTAAAGAGCAAAAGGTAAATCCAGAAAGGAAATCTGAAGGTTTAATAAATTTAGACAAGACTGTAGTAAGGAGCTTGAGACAGTGGAATATTTTGAGTGGCAAAACAAAGCGTTACAAAAGTCCTGGATGTTTGTATTTGCAGTGTTACAAAATTAAAAGTTGTGTTTATCGAGTTTTCAAATGTTTGTGGTTAAAGTATGGTTGTTTTGATTGCAGAAACGGAACAAGGCGTTGCACAGGCAATCATTCGATCTGTTGTAGATTTCAAGAGGGATCCTTGGCCCAAAGTATCCGATGCTGCAAAGGACCTTGTCAAGAAGATGCTCAATCCTGACCCAAAATTACGCCTTACTGCTCAGGAAGTTCTAGGTAAAGATTATCCTTGAGATTTTATTTCTTCTCTTTGTTTTATACAAAACATTAAATCTAATTGTAAACCGAAAATTGAATTGTTTTTTGGAAATGGATCAATCGTGAGATTAGGTATCCAAAAATCTCAATCTCTTGTTTATTTTATTATTTGGAAAGGGTAACAAAGGTTTTCAAGAATTATGTTCTTAACATTTAGACAAGGGCAAATTAGGAATATTTTGGAAATTGATTTTTTTGTATACATTAACATTTTACACCTAAATGTTGAAAAATTAAGAGTTTTTAAGAACCAAATCGAATGCAAGTGTGTTAAATTTCTAACTCTTGTTTGCTTGTTAAATTTATTTCTTTAGATCATCCGTGGATTCAGAACGCCAAAAAGGCTCCAAATGTTTCTTTAGGTGAAACTGTTAAAGCAAGACTCAAGCAATTCTCTGTCATGAACAAGCTTAAAAAGAGGGCTCTAAGGGTAAGAAAACGCCTTCTTGATTTTGGTTCATGATATGCATCAAAATGCAATGGTTTAGTTTGTATTTAGTGTATCAAATAATTTTTTTCCCTCAATCGATGTAGCAGAGTTTCAAGTTTTTTTTTTTGTACCCATTTTGACAAGTTATTTCTGATCTTGTAACATTTGATGCCATGTATACCCGTTTATGAAAGGTTTCTTAAAAGATTAAAACGAGGTGGATGATAAATATGACATCCACATCATCAAATGTTAAAAGATCAGGGTAAAAAATAGGATTTTTTTAACTTTGTTATATTAAATATGAAGTTTTGAAACATTATTACATTGATTGATGCTCATTTTGATGCATTTTATTCTCTATCATATATCGTAAATCATTTTTTCTTCATATTTTTGGTTAATTTGAAGTCTGTATGTAACAATCTTGCAGGTAATTGCGGAACATTTGTCTGCAGAGGAAGTGGCTGGCATAAAGCAAGGTTTCGATTTGATGGACACAAGCAAGCAAGGGAAGATAAATATTGTTGAGTTGAAAGCTGGCTTGCAGAAGCTCGGACATCAGATTGCTGATGCAGATCTTCAAATACTTATGGAAGCGGTAAGTGTCTTAACTTGACCGTATATTTCTCAAATTCAAAAGTCATGCATTTTCCACGTGGGTCATCTTAATACTCCCTCCTTCTCATGAAAATTGCTAAGTTTGACTGAATGCATATTTTGAAGGGGAAGCGTCGTTCCAACATAAGCGTCCACATTTCTATATAATTTTGCCCCAAAATAAGTCCATTTTCAAAAATAGATGGTTATAATTTTCTAAAGGGCGGTTTATCAACACAATCCGGGTAAAAGTTACCACTGTCACTTAGGGTCTGTTGTTAGCAGCTTAATGAGCTTAATGGGACTCGCAGCTTATTATGTTAGCTATAAATGATTGTTTGGTAGTGGCTTATTGATATAGAATGTGGTTATTCAGTAAGCTTCCAAGGGGGAGCTTTATGCAGAAAGCCAAGTTTTTTCCAAACACGTCCCTCCAAATTAAAAACACACTCTCCTTCCATCTATGAAAAATCCCTCCCAAACAAAAATCATCCCTATCTATATAGACAGATTAATCCACAAGACAACTTTATCCATACGGGAGAAAAACCAACCAAACAACCCCTTACCACCTATTGTGTAAAGATTCTCGGTCGTCAAAATAGCATAGTATAAGCGTCTCTTATCCGGGCAAGACTCACCACCCTCACTTACCAACTAAGATCCTTGGTTTGCAAAATGCACATTAAGATGGTTGCTGAAGACCATCATTTATGACGGGGTAAGAGGCAATAGGTGTTTAGTAAACATCCCGTAAATTTCATCTCTGCCGTTAATTATGATGCACCAAATATTCAAGAGTTGATGAGATATAGGTAACATTCCCATTAATGAAAGGTGTTTGTACAGGGTGATGTTGACAAAGATGGATACTTGAACTACGGTGAATTTGTTGCAATATCAGTTCACTTGAGAAAGATGGGCAACGATGATCATCTTAAAGATGCTTTTGCATTCTTTGATAAAAACCAAAGTGGGTATATAGAGGTTGAAGAGCTAAGGGAAGCCTTAGCCGATGAAGATGAAGCCAACAACGAAGAAGTCATTTCCGCCATCATTCATGATGTCGACACCGATAAGGTTTGTTTTGCATCTTTCATGACTCGTTTATTTGCTCATGATGTTAATATTGTTTCTCCAAGTCCTCTTGAAAATACCATGAATTTGAAGGGTTCTAATCCCTTTGATCAGCTTCGAATCAAAAGTTCAGGCATATCCTCATCTTTACTCGGTGTTTTTATTATTTATTTATAGGTTATCTGAAAGATAATGTTTCTTTTTAAGATTATCAACACCTAAACCAAATCAAATGAACTCAGACCTTTCTTTAGCTCAAGGCTCAGGGGGTAGAGTGACTGTTTCTGTGAAGATATCGAAAACTTATAGTGGCCAAATAGGGTGGTCAGCTGAGTTGGGTAACGGGTCATACTGCCAAAATGGGTCTGGTTGATCCGTTAACACTTTCTTTGTCTATTTTTTGAAAATTTTAAAATAAAATAGTTTATTAAATATACCTTAGGTGACTTTTAAAGCATATGACATGTTTGATGTATCCTTTTTTTGAAGTATATAAAAAAAAAGTTTAAATGCGGTAAATACTCATGCACACTCCTTTACCATTCGTGAGGTTTGAACCTATTACCTCTTGGGAGGCTGGGTCCTATCAGTAACCTGGGTACCGCTGGGCCAATGACCCTTTGATTGACATGCTTTCTTTTTAGCTAAAGTTTTGACTTTTTAACCCATTATCAATAACCCAAATTGATTTCTTCTGAGATAAATGAATTGAAATCGTATCCTCTACGAACACCCTTGAGAGTTAGGTATATTGTAGGTTGTTCCTTCTGTTATAAATGAGTTGTTGAGCTGCTACCATTTCAACCAAACCAAACGAAACGAAACGTATCGGGTATTTGGAAGTGAGGTACCAAACCAAACAAACCTGGTATATCCCATCCCACTTGAAGAGGTAACGAAAACGCTCTTTGATTGATTCTTGCAGGACGGAAGGATTAGTTTTGAGGAATTCACAGCGATGATGAAGGCAGGAACAGATTGGAGAAAAGCATCACGACAGTATTCGAGAGAGAGATACAATAACTTGAGCTTGAAGTTGTTCCAAGATGGATCGATGGATTTAGCGAACGAAGCAAGATGACCAACAAGAAAATTATATTGTCAAAAGAATGAAGTTTCTTGAAATACTTTGTTTTTTGGTTTTGACAGAAGGGATTTGGTTGTGGTGAAGGGATTGATTGTGGTTGTAAATATGGATATGTTCACATAACATATCCTTGACCTTGAGGCCTGAGGGCCAGCATCCCTTTGTTTCAACTCCTCATTTAGTTTCTTTAGGGAATTGGATCCTGTAAAGCATGCTAACTAATAACAAGTGTTTATCTTCTTTTTAATTGTATTTTGTAACGATGTCGATCTTCTTACCTGCTAAAGTTGTTGGTCGGATTCTTGTTTTGTATCTTTTGCATTTGACGGGATTTTTATGTGAAATAGACGTGAAAAAAGTAGAACAGACTTGTTCCACTCCTTACCCTATAGAATAGGTGGAACAAACTTGTACTTTTACCAATATGATCTTAAAATAAAACTTAATTTCTTTTAAAACATCAAATAAGTCTTTTTTTTTTACATTTTATTCATTCTTTAAGTTTTATTTATTACGGTACTCAAAATATTATTTTTATATGCTTTCTATATTTTTATTAATTTATGTAATTTGTTATATATTAATAATAATAAAATAATGTAGAAAAGGGATAGAATAAAGATCGAAAACTATATAAACTTTTTATTTTAATGTCATTTTAATTGTTTTGATAAAAACTTTTTTAATGATGTATTTTGTTATAAAAATAATTATTTTATTATAATTTAATAAATTATATAAATAACTCATTAGAGGTAAATTGGTTATTTTACTTGTTTTGTTTTATCCAGTTCTGTCTTATCAAATGCTGAATAGTTATTTTGTCTTGTCCAGAATACTAAACGCACCCTAAACAATTGTAAGAAGGATTAATGAAAATAAAGAGTTGGTACGTACCATTTGAAAACAAGAACCAAACGGCAAGCAAGAGAAGAAACATTTATTTTGTATGTGTAATTAAGTAGGTATCTATATATATTATAAAACATTTGATAAAAATTCTTAAAAATAATTTTTTTATGCATAAAATACTGTTTAATGATACATATTACTTAAAATTTAAGATTACAAGTAAATTGTACGTAAGTATAACTTATTAAAAGCTCATGTTTGTATTCATGTAACTAATTGATGGATAAACATCTCATTTTAAATATAAAAAATTTAAAATATAATTAAAATAATCATTGAATTCTAACAAAATATTTAATTATTATTTTAAAAAAAATTATATTGTTACACTAAAAATAAAATAATAAATTAAAAAAATACACAAAAAAGAGAAATTTTAAATAGTTAGTTTGGTACTGATATCAATAACTTTTTTTTTCAATTTTTATGATATATCTTCATATTTATATTTTATTCAAAAATAAAAAATATTATCACTTTTTCAAAACCACATAAAATTGTATTATAACATCGGCTGAGACAAAAAAAACATTAAAATCGAAATGTATCTCGCTGCATTATACGAATACCCTCCTAGTAATTCATAAGAGATAAACCTCAACAAGTCTTGGCTTAATGAAAACAAATAATGATTGTTTCCAACCACGTTGATCAGCAGGAACGGATTCAACAAGTCTTGGCTCACCAAATATCCTTGCAAGAACAAGATCCACCCACAAATCGGTGAAACCGAACTCGGTCCCTAACAACGATCTCTCGCTCATAAACCGCGCTAATAATCTTCGTCACTTCATGGCAATCGTCACAAACTCGGAGGTTTTTCACAACCCGAATCACAACAGGTGCTTTCGTCTTCATGATCCCATATGCAATCGCTAATCGTTCACTATGCTCACAAAGAGCTTCTTTCTTCGCTTCATCTTCCACGTCATGAAGTACTCCCGAAACATCTGGTCTGTACCCCAAAGAGTTAAGCCGTTTCAAAATATCACCTAATACTTCCCTTATCTCGTTCGACTCAGGGTGAGACCAATCACCCAACACAAATTCATTAATGAATCCATCAACTTCTATGGAGCTACACCCGGGTACGGTTTTCATACCCTTATCTCTCATTTGTTTCCTAATATGCCCCATTTTAGACCATTCTGAACAAGCTGCGTAAAAGCTCGATAAAAGGGCGTAGTTTTCGGGATTAGATGGTTCGGATTCAAGTAGTTGTTGACTGGCTATCTCTCCTCGAACCATGTCCTTGTTTTTCTTGCACGCGACAAGAAAAGTTCTCCAGATTACTGGATCAGGTTCAATGGGCATGTTTCTGATGAACGTGTAAGCTTCTTCAAACAAATTGGCACGACAAAATATATCGACCATGCAACTGTAATGCTCAACCGATGGTTCAATTCCCAACTCGAGCATGCTAGCCCAACGTCTTCGTCCCTCGGAGACTAGTTGACCATGGACACATGCTAGTAACACACCAAGAAATGCTACTTGATTGGGTTTCACCTGAAAGATGATTTCAAACACAATTAATTAAACAACGTTTACAACAAAATCGGTTTTATAGGACACCAAAATTGTTGTTTCGGGTGTTTTAACAAGTTCTTTTAGAACAGTTTTGAAGCAAAGCATTCTATTACTTTTTTTATGACATTATTTGAAAATTTGTCTTATAAAAACACGGGTGTCCTATTAAAAAGCTAATATGACACTTTAATGCAAAAGTGTCTAAAAAACTTGGCGTTATACAAAAATTATTATAATACTTTTATATAGTAGCACGATTGTTTGGTTATATAAAATGAAGTCTATTAGAACACTCAAAACATTTTGGCATCCCATAAACCCGATTTCGTTGTAGTGTCATAATACCTGGGATCCTTCCATATCGGCAAATAGACTAAAAACATCATCAGCATGCCCGTGAATTGCAAACCCGATAATCATTGAGCTCCAAGCTTGTGGATCTTTGGCGGGCATTTCATCAAAAACTTCTCTCGCTTTTTCTATGCACCCGCATTTTGCGTACATATTAATAAGTGCGGTACTGAGCTTAGTATCGATCGCAATACTCCGTTTCTTAATATAAGCATGCGCCCACTGACCGACATCTAGAGCCCCCAAACCGGCACAAGCCGAGATCACGCTAGCCATCGTCACCTCATCAGGAACAACACCTGCCTTCTGCATACTTATAAATGAATCCAACGCCTCACTGAACATATCAAGTTTAGCATACCCACTAATCATAGTACTCCAAGCAATCATATTTCTCTCCGGAATTTCATCGAACACTTTCCGTGCAAACATGATCTCCTCACATTTTGCATAGAAACCAACAAACGACGACTGCAAAAAGGAACTCGATGAAAACCCATGTCGGATTACGTATGAATGGACCTGCTGGCCTTCTTGAAACGCTTGTAATATCATGCAGGCTTTCAAAACAAATGCAAGCGTATAAGTATTCGGGTTTGGGCATCCTCTTCTGATCAAGCTTCTGAAGATGGAAATGGATTGTGATGTTGGTGAGATCTGGGATTTGGAGAAACCTCTAATGACGGAATTCCAAGAGAAAATGTTTGGATTTGGAGCTTGAAAGAGTAGTCTTTCGGCATATAGAATATTGCCGACAGGAGAGAGAGCACAATGACTGATGATTTTCGAGAGAGAGAAGCACAGGGTGGAGAAAGGTAGCGATCGAGTAAGGATATAGGAGTGGATTTGCTGTAAAACTCGCATATTCGGACATTTTCCGATCAGAGAAGCGAGTCTCTCTTCTTCTTCTTCTTCCTCCAGTTCTTCTGCTTGGAGTACTATGATTAGTGGGTATCAAATGGTAAGCAAAATATGTAGTTTTGAGTTGATTATACTTTTGAGTGGCGTACCGGAGGTTGGATTCCGGTGTGGTACCGGTAATAAGCATTTTTGAGTATTTGGATAAACAACTTATATCGGTGTCAAACCGGTAATAAGGAGTTTTTGAAAAAGTTAAACATTTCTAACTTCTAATAAGTTGATAAGTATTTTTATAGAAAAACATAAATTGCTTCAAATAAACAATCCCAAACACTTACTCTAATTTATTTTGTTCTCCATGACATTCGGCATCGCTACCACCACTACTACTGCTATCACTGTCGTCACTACCATCATTAATGTTGTCATTGCCACCGCTAACACTATCACTTGTTGTCACCACTGCCACCACCGGTATCAACGCTACCACTGTCACGACCACCTTCCTCACCATCACCGCTAAACCACTGCTACAGTTGCCCTCACCCCAACCATCGTTGCCCGCTGTCGCATGCATCCACCACCACCTTTTAGTACTATCATTAAATTTATCATTATAGAGTGCTTATAATTTAATCAATAAAAGTGAAAATGTTGTAAAGGAGTATTTTTGTCATTTATCAATACTTATTATAATTATGAAGTATAGTGGGCGTGTGGCCACCTTGGCCTAGTGGCCACCTCCTTTCGTAAATGTCTTGCCTTGGGAGTGCCCACCCGGGTTCGATTCCAGGGGAGGACAGATTGTCTTTTCTGGTGCTTGCTTATGAGGTATGGCAAGTAGGGTTCACAAATGTGGACCACGGGGCCATGAGGTCCCCGCCATTAAACCTTTTTTTTATTATAATTATGAAGTTATATTTCATTTCTAAAAAAAAATTAACTTTGAAAGAACTGAAATGAAATTTGACGTCTTTGGTTGAAATGATTTGGAACGGTATATCTCAAAAGAATTGAAATTCCCATATTTGTTTGGCAGAATGTAACTTCAAATTGGAATGAAATAACAACAAATAACCCAAATACCCTTTATTATATTTTCATACTTTTTTGCTTAAGTTATAAATATAATACAATGATAATATTAATTACTGGGGGTCGGGGTGGGGGTTGTGACGGAGATGGTAGTGTTATGGTGGTGTCGGTGGTAGGTGGGGGTAGTGGTTCTAACGATGACAATAGTAGCATTGTGAGGTAGGAGTGCGTGGTGTCAGGTGGTGGCTGGTGGGTAGGGGTGGTAGCTGGACCAGTGGCGGATCCAAGATTTTTGTCTACTGGAGTCACCTTTAAGGTAGGCTAAAGGTCCGCAAAATCATCCGATGTGTTTTTAATCTAATTACAACGTTTCGAGAGATTTTTAAAGTTTTTTGGTTGATTTCGAAGGATTTTTTTAGTAGTTTTGTCGATTTCGAATAACTTTTTTGGTTTTTTTAATTGATTTCATTATAATTTTTGGTTAGAATAATGGTTTCGATTGGGGTTGGGGCCCGTGGAAAAACATAATGGAGGGAAGTGAAAGGCAAATTGTGTAAAACCTAAATTTTAACCTACGAATTTTTTTGTTTTGAGTTTTTGACTGGGGTCCCTTCCCCCTTCCTTTTTACTACTGTGTCCTCCACTGGCTGGGACAACGACGGTAGTTGCATGATGGTATTGGTGGTCATTGGTGGAGGTGAGTGGCGAGATTTCAAGGGAATTGGAATTGTGAATTCCTTTGACCAAATTTCAGTTCCTATCTTTGGTCCACGTTTTGAAATGAATGGAATCTTTTAAATTCCTTTGGATTTCATGGATCAGTGATTTTATCATTTCTGGTAAAAGTGAATGAATTAGATTCCATCCCTTGTTAAATGTAAGAGATTTTATAATTTCTTAAACCTTTGGTGTCTACTTAAGTTTCAAAACCTTCTAACAGAAAGCGGAATTAAACCAGTCTATCCAAACGGGGTATCTTAATGAGGTATTCATCCCTCGTGTGAGGGGTACTTAACGGCTTGCACTCGAGAGACGTTAGTAGTAGAAAACGAATTCATAAGAAAATAAAACTATAATGACCAAAAATATTTAAAAAAAACGGATTGTATGTGTTGATCCTCCTCAGTGCTTTGATGATGACCCCTTTAAACATTTCGTATTTTCCGTTGTATAATGTTTATTGTTTGTATTCCTCAATGCTCACTAAGGGGCCGTTTACTAAACGCGTACCCGGTAAGTGTTTATTGGGTAACCAAATGGCATTTGGCCTAGCGGTATCGTAACCTTTGGCCTCCTGGGAGGTCAGGGGTTCAAACATCACCAAATGTGAGGAGAGTGTGTGAGTTTATTTGTTATATTTGTCGTATATAAATATTATATACTTAAAAAAAGTGTTTATTGGGTAATTTTCTTACCGGATAAACATGACAAAGGTCAAAAATCTTATCCAGTAAGAGCAATGATAAAGATGAAGAGTCTTACCCGGGTAAGCGCTTACCGGGTAAATTATTGAATACAATATTAATTTGATGTACTATAATCTTACATGATAAAATAAATTACAGTGTTAACTCATAACGGTAAGCATCTAGGTAAACGGTCCCTAAGTGTTGCCTCAGTAAGGAATACGCAACGTAGTTAGACTATCACTTTTTGTTCCCTCTCTAAAGACATTATCTGAACCAGTGTTGTTACGATCAAGACTCATTCTTCTCAAAGAATTTATGATCAAGTCAAAGACTGCAAACCGTACTGTATTTGTGGTGTTTGTGGTGCTGTTTCATGCAGTTTTGTGGTCAAACTGCAAACCGTACTGTATACGCGACGTAGACCGCAGCATGTACACTCAAACCGCCAAAAATCGCACCGCGATATGCGATGCAATTTGCTACGATTTGAGCCTAACACATTTCGATCTAATAATTATACAATCACAACTTCATAATAAACTCAACGATGATGCTCCTATATTCCATAAAATAAAAAAATTCGGTACTTAGGGGCCGTTTACCAAACGCTTACCAAATCACATTACTTTACCGGATGAATATGGTAAGGACCAAGAATCTTACCAGGTAAGAGGGAGACAAAGACTGAGAGTCTTATCCGGTAAGTGAGGGCGACGATTCTTACCATGGTAAGCGTTTACTCTGTAAATTGTTGCATACGATGCCGTTTTGGTGGACTAAAGTCTTACCCGGTAAGTAAGTAGTAGTGTTAAATTTTACTGGTAAACGTTTATATCGGGTAAGTGTTTGATAAACGACCCCTTACTAAATGCAAATGAAATAGTTCGTAATTAATCCAAATGTACCTTGTAAAAGTTAACTTATACTTAATTACAACCAAGATTTTTGACAAAGGACAAATAAAAATAACTAAAAAAGTTATTTGCGACGTAAAAACTTAAAAGAAAAACTGAAAATTTAATAAAATAATATATTAATTACTTTCTTTTGATAAATGATTATATGTACAAGGTCAGGTTCAGGGAAAACCACAAAAAAATGAAAAAAATAAGGAATACTTTGGTAACCATTCATTTGAATGGTATGCATCTGTGTATACAAGTAATTTGTAAGCAGTTTATCCAATATACACATGTGCGTAACATGCATACGTGCATAAAAACCAAGAAATAACTTCAATTTACTTGTATGCACATATGTATACTGTCCAGATGAATATGTAACAGGGTGTGTTCCTCGTTTTTTTTTCATTTTCTTATAGGGTTTTCTCCTAAATCTAACTATATGTATATAAATATACATTTAAAAATATATTTGAAAAATACGCAATACAGTTTGAACCGTGGTTTAATGACTCAAAGACATAAACGACACCGCAAAATACAGTTTGATGAAAATGCAAACCACAAATCGTACTTCAAATAATCTAAACTAAGTTTTGCAGTGTGATATGATACAATATGGACGATTTAACGATTTAAATAAATACCTTAATATTTTATTTATTTTAATTATTAATCATTTATAAATATTCCCCCTTTTTTTTTACAACGGTTACTTCACGAGTCCACCATGTTTATTTTCTAAGACATTAAATACTATTACAATTTGTATTTACTAAAAGGCTACTCGTTCAATGTAGTGAAATAAATGTCTATTTTAATGTTTAGTTTTTATTTTTTATCTCTATCGATATAATACGATTTTATGTGGTTTTGAGAAAACGATAATGTTTTTATTTTTTAATGAAATATAAATTTGAAGATGACATAAAAATTTGAAAAAAAAATAAATTGATATTAGTATCAAATTAACTATTTAATGGTTCTCGTTTTTTATGTAACTTATTTAATTTAATTTAAATTTAATAACAAAGTAATTTGTTTTTGGGTTAACAATATAATTTTTTATAAAAATAATAATTAAATATTCTGTTAAGACTCAATAATTATCTTAATTGTATTTTAGATTTTTTATATTTAAAATGAATGTTTATCCCATATTTGATTATGTTTATCTGCAGTTAGTTACACGAATTTAAAAATGAAGCTTTAATAAGTTGTACTTATGCAAAATTACTTATAATCTTGGATTTTAAGTAATATGCATCAATAAACAATATTTGATGTATAAAAATTAATTTTTAAAAGTTTTTATCAAATATTTTATAATAAAAATATAGATATTCAATCTATAAGTGCATTCATGTTTATTTGTTCAAAATATTACTCTTTAATCATTAGACATCATTAAAAGCATTAGTAGGATTGATAATTTGGCATTGACTAGTAAAATATCATCTTTATAATTCTATTATAAGATTACTTTACCAAGACATCTCTTATATCACTCAAATGGATTTTCGACTTTTGGTATCCCATCAGTTTTTATGTATGAATTACTGGTTATTGATGAATATAATTTAAAATTTAATATTATAAGTAAATTGTACGTAGGTATAACTTATTAAATTACATTTTCGAATTCATGTAACTAACTGTAGATAAACATATCAAATACATGGTAAACATTTCGTTTTAAATATAAAAAATCTAAAATATAATTAGGATAATTATTGTGTTCTAACATAATACTTAATTATTATTTTTTTTATAAAAAATTATATTATTAAACTAAAAATAAATTATTTCATTATTAAATCTAAATTAAATTATAATAAAAAAAATTGAATTAAGGAAGTTACACAAAAAACAAGAATTTTTAAATAGTTAATTTGATATATATATATATATATACACACACACACACACACATATATATGAGTTATTATGCAATCATTTACATTTGTACAACCAATACAACTCAATCTCAACCGTCCATTTAATCTGATGAATATATGATTTCATAAAAGATTTAATTGTTTTATAATACAAAGTATTGATCATAATTAATGAACCTTAGTTATATTCCATAAACATTCAAATCATAATAAATGAACTCTCCTCATTTTCATAAATATCTCAATTGATTGAGTTGTATTGATTGTACAAATGTGATAGGTTGCATTTGAAACTTTAACTCTCTCTCTCTCTCTCTCTATATATATATATATATGGTATATTTCAAATGCAATCATGTTCATTTGTACAACCAATACAACCCAATCAACTGAGGTATTAATGAAAATGATGAAAGTTCATTTATTATGATTTGAATATTTATGAAAGATGACTAGAGTTCATTAATTATGATCAATACTTTATATTAGCAAACATATCAAAACTTTTATAAAATCTCATATTCATCAAATTAAATGTACGGTTGAGATTGAGTTGTATCGGTTGTACAAATGTAAAATGTTGTATAATAACTCACATCTATATATATATATATATATTTATTTATTTTTATTTTTTTTAAATTAGAATATTTTCAAATTTATATCTTATTTTAAAATAAAAATATTATCGCTTTCTTAACACTACAAAAAAATCATATTATACCAT